TGCGGGCAGGAGCGATGCTGGCAGGTTTTGCAGCTCGCCTGGGTTCCTCTCGCCTCCTGCTTCCCCTTCATGTAGCAGCGCTCCAGGCTGCCATCCCAACCTCCTCGTAGCCCTCCAGCCTGGCAGGGCACAGGGGAAGGGACTTTCCTGCAGCATCCAGTGTTCCTCTATTTTCCATGGGGAAAAGAGTGCTCCTGGAGAGCTGGGTTGGAGGAAGGGGATGTCTGGCTCCTGACCCGAATGCACCGAGCAATCTCATGGCATCTTGCACAATGGAAAAATTAACTCAAATTTTCTCCTCAAACACAGGTGGTCCCATGAGTACCAGGAGGCCACAATCGACAAAATCATCCGTTTTCTCCAGGGCCGTTCCTCCCGGGACTCCTCAGCTGGGTCGGAGAACAGCCTGGACTGCTTGCTCTCCCTGGGGCAGACCTAAGCACAGCTGCCTCATCCCCTCCAGAGACTTCCCAGGTGACCCCTTTTTATGCGGGGCCAAATTTCTCCCTCTAGATTTTTCCCCATCTTAGTACCTTGGCTTGAGACAAGGGGGGCTCATTAGCCCCCCCTTCACCCTCCAAATGCAAGCCCCTGGCGCTAAAAGGATGGTACTTACTCATACGGTGCCTGGTGAGCCAAGCCAGGGCAGACTCTGGCATGGACAAGTTGTCTTCCACATCCTCCCTTGGGGCGGCAGGACATGAAGGCTACACCTCCCGCAATGCAGGGCATGCAAGGGAGACTGATGCTGCCCAAACCTCTGCGAATGGCTGCAGCTTCCGCCAGAAGTGTGTCTGAAGAGGAGGGATCTTCTGAGGACCAAAAGCTGGGGAATTGGTGAGGGGTACGTTGCAAGAGGACACGTGAGAGAGAAGAGCAATTAAGAGGGAACAGTCCATAAGCATCGTATGGCCTCTGCTGGGTGCCACAGGAATACCATTGAGGTCAGAAGCTGAGAGCAGGAAAGGGCAAATAAAAGCTAAGCCCTCACAAAATCTCCGTGTTTGGGAAAGATAACGCACAGCGGCCTTCTAAACTGCTCAGCAGTAGCTTTCTCTTTCCCAGTAATGTCCCTTTATCACACAAGCTTGCTTTCTCCTAGAGGGCCTTTCACCTCCTAATGCTGCAAAACCACTTTGTGCTCTTAACTCTGGCAACAGAAGTTTGGGTTTAGATCATGTGAAGTTTCTGCAGGGTCTTTGCAAAAAGCGCTTTTAAGACAACCCCCTTCCCTCCACCTGATGTCTCAGTGTTACCACTTTAACAGCTCTATACTTACAGGGCACAGGAGGCTGAACTCCAACTCTGGAAAATATGTATCCATGCAGATACAGAAGATGCTAACTGCTGTACTGTACTTGAGGAGTTATTACACACTGGCTGTACTTTATTCTGTTGTTGGTGCTCCACAGCAGATCTCCCATGGTCTGCTCCTTCAAACAGGAGCTGGCATATCCCTTTGCTGACTACCACTCACCCTGACAGCCCTGGCTAAGCTCCTCAGGCTCAGGGTTCTCCCTACTCTCTGCTCAATGCAACACCAAGTAGCATTTGTTTCTTTCTACCACTCTATTCTCAACACCCACCAGGTCTTTTTCTAGCTACTCACCTTGAAACATCAGGAAACAGCGAAATCGATGCAAAGGGCAGGCAGAGGCAGCTGAGCACCAGCTGGGAGCAGGACTGGCAGCACCTGCAGGTGAGGATCCATGGGCATCCTGACACAGCTCCCCTGAATTCTGCACTCCCAGCCTCGTCCTGCTTCTCACACCTGCTTGGAGGGTGAGCAGGCTCTCAACAACATGCTGTTTTGCAATTAGAACCAGAAATTGCAGCTCCTACCTAAGCTTGTCTTTTCTGATGCAGAGCAAAGTGAATAATGCAAAAAGACATCTTTGTTCAGAGCACACGCAGGAGGAAGAGCAAGCCATGCCCAGGGAACGCCAGCCTGCCCTGAGGTCTGGAGATCAGGCTGATGCACCACCCTGCAGAAGCAGCAAGCTCCTTTGCCTGTCCCTGCTCAAGGTAACTCAACCATTTCAGGAGGTAATGAGGAGTGTCAGCCACCTTGTACTTCCCCTGGCTCTTCCCGAAGCCTCACTACCTTGCCTTAACTGGCAGGAACACAAACACATTTCTTTTTGGCCTAGATCCATGAACATTAGAGAAAAATAGTTAAATTCTGGTGCTTAATCACAGCTTTATGGATAGTTCTTATCAACTCACAGTTAATGCCATCTTTGCTCTCCAGTGAAAGGTTAATAGCTGTTATCTGCCCAGCATTCATCAGCAATAGAATCTAATCTCCGGATTAAATATGAGGAAGCCAGCAGATGAGCCCAAAGGTGAATCTGCCAAAGGATAAAAACCACTTATAAGCTGCTTCAGGGAAAAGCCTTGAGTAACTGATTGAATGTCAAGGCCTCCATGGCCACTGAGGGAGTCCCACACAAACAGTCCTAAGGATTTTTCTCCCTACAACAATACACAGTAAGATTATTGCATCTTGTTTCCCAAGAGCTCTCTAGCAATTAACCTCCTCACCCATCATTCAACCTAGAGAAGATTTACTTGTTCTTTACAGCTTAGGTGTCTCACCTGCAATGAGATCCCATCTCACGCTCCAGCTGCCAGGACTGTGGCTCTTCCTGTTTCCCCATCATTCCAGTTATCTTCATCCTAATGAACTCACCCTGCTCTTGACAAAACATCCCACACCCAGCCCCTTCCAGTCAGAGCAGACAGTCTCAAGAAAATTAATCCTTCTGTTCTCACCCTTCCTTATTCCTTTGCTATGCCATGTCGGAAAGTGTTTGAAGATGTTCTATCAGACGTTATTAATAAATCTGCTTTATACTCTAAATCCCCACCTCTTTTCTGTTTGTGTCACACGCTTCTCTCCCTGCAGCCTTCTCACACTTGCTCTCTCTTGCCGTCATGCTTTCTCACCCTCTGAAAGGGCAGCAGAATTGACATTTTCCAGGCACCATTCTCTGTGGGCACCCAGACTTCACGCTCATCTTTGCATGGACTGATGTAGCTCACTGCATCCCCAGGGACTCTCTACCTGCTGCCCACAGTCACGATGCATGGATCATGTATTTGCTTCACAGTTGTGGCGCTTGGAGGACAGCCTAGAAAAGCTTTGGTTTAGTTTTTTTAATAGAACATAATAGTTCCTATTGAATTTCTCCTTTGCAAGCACGCTGACACAAACAGGAAAGCAGACCCAGTACACAAGTTTCACTTCACTGCACAACACTGAGCAGCTGCTAGTACTGGCATCCATGGAGTCCGTTGGTAGAGAAGTCTTACTTCACAATCAGTTCAGCTACAAACATCTAATGCAACACTCACAGCATGCCCTGTTCCTCAGGGAGGCTAATTCTGGGCTTAGCCCGTCAATCAGACACCTAACTCCTGCCTATGTCCACCAGCATAACTACACAGAGCAAGTGGCATAACACCAAGTTCTTAAAGCCTCCCTATTCCTCCACCTCCTGCTTCTCTGCTCCCCAATTCTCCTGCTTTTATCACAAACCCCTAATGAACAGGGAAAAAAGCTGTACCTAAGCATTTCACATTTACTGCATATTGAAGGACAGGTTACAGACTAAACACTCCCACAATCTTTACTCCGGTGTTCAGGAAAAGCAAGCTTTGGCTGCTTGCAAGTCCCAAATCTGCATTTTTCCTGACTCAGGACTCAGACATGCTTATTCTCTGCGAGGCAGATACCTTCCTGCTGCTATTTCTCTACTGCATAGTCTTCAATAAAGGAAGAAGCATGAAAATAATGGAGAAACGCAGAATGAGGCAAGGACAAATGACATCAAGGGCTGTACAAGAAAAGCTCTCTTTCTATGAATCATAAAAGAGAATGGAATTTTTATTCACTCTGAAACTAACATGTCTGCTAAGCAATTTCACAGTTAAGGACATTATTGCATGCATCTGTACAGTGTGTGCAATGCAATCTACACAGAATTGCTAGTTTATGGCAGTTTGAAGAAATTAGCATTGAGGCAATATAGTTAATGATTTGAAAAGAACAATTACGAGTACCGTGAACATGGGGTTTGCTTGCTGGCATCAACATATCCTGAGAAGGGCAGCAAAAGTGAGATCACTGATACAAAATTTTGGAGCATAATTTTATTTCCAAAGTCACTAGTCCTGTCCCCACACCAGCTCATCCCTACGGTGCCGTGTATTGATGAGGAGGGACTGCTTCTGGCTCTGCCAGCAGTAATTTCACATGACACATTTACAACAGTTGGGGCCTCAAATTTATAATGTAAGGGTCTTCAGTTAGGGAGGCCCAATTTTGTCAATTTTAGCATTAACTTCATCAGTTTGGGCAACTGTCAATTAAGGCACCTACTTGCACCTTAGTATTCTCACACGAGCTATTACTTCTCAAAAGTACCTTTGAAATCCTGGGCTGAGCTGCAGACAGACAGGCAGGACACGCCACTGGCATTTCTCACTACAAGCACTTCATGCACTGGATTCTCTCCCTCAGACACCTCTAGCTTGTGAAGCTAAAGCTAGTTTAGTCAATAAGGACAGCAACAGCACTCCTGTGGTAAACTACCGCTCATCGTAAGGATTTCTGCAGGAGCCTAGTCTGGCATTCGACATTTGCATGACTTTTATTGACAACAGGCTGATTTGGAGCGCGGATCTCTCTCCTCAGCAGCATGCCGGAGGGTACCTCTGCTTCAGCCTCACTCTGCAGGCTTTGGTCTGGGCCTCACCCACACCAACAGCTCATCTGCTGCACACACTGTAGTACTCAGAGGGGAACATGTTTGGCAATTAAACCAGAATTCAGTCCTCTCTCACCACTAAAAGCATACCACAGAACTTTCCCTTCCCAACAAACCCCAAACCACTAACCGGCCTTGCAAATGGCCAACAATAGCTTTTACTCTTGATTGACTTTTGGGTCTCTTGGGTTTTCTCTGACAGAGAAGCCAACACAATGGCGAAGAAGCATTCACATCTGCAAAGCAAGTTCCTACTGGTAGTCAGAGTCATGATTTCCAACTATTTGGCATTTAAAAATTAGTAAGGACAAGCAAGGTGTCCCTCCCACACTAATCTGTCCTTCAAGGGAAGAATAAAGAGCAGCCTTTGGATGGACACTCCTGAGCTGCCCAATTCCTTGTTGCTAAGTTGCTGCTCAGCCGTCTGCAGGGGACAGGGAAGCATCTGAGAAGTGATTGTAGTCATGGTTTGAGTCCCAGATTTCTATCCACCTAAGAAAGAAAGAACAGTTAGAGCCTATGAAGGCACACTGGGATGTTGCTGAATGAGGTGTTTTAAAGTTTCAAAGGAACAGAACAAAATGACCCTGCCAGGAGCTGTTGCACTTCTACTGCAAATCCCAACACATCCTCTCTCTCCCAAGACTTACCAGGGGATTTGTTTTCTATCACGACACAACTTTTGCTTTAATTAGTAGAGAAACAACAGGAAGAGAGATTGCTAAAAGAGCTCCACCTCTTCCATAAAGGAGGACTTTCAAATTCAACTCCGTATTTTGGACTCTGAGGGTGGAGTGAGACTTTGAAGCACTTTGAATGTCAGCAGCTACATTGCTTGGGCTGTAGGTTTACTGCTAGGATTCAGATGCCAGAAGAAAAGGACCTGCACCTCTGCTTACTGGGGCACTAAACACCCTCTCACAAGCATAACTGAAAATATGCCTTAAAAACTGTGAGCCTCTATCCTAAGTAGAGTAAATAGTATTTTTCATATTACACTTCACAGGTCCTATGGAAAAGTTTAGAAATTTGAAGTAAATTACCCAATAATAGCTGCTGGAATAAGAAGAATTATAGCCCCGAAGAGAAATGGGAATCCCCTCATGAAGTGCAAGCTGGCAGGGTAGAGAGAGTTGAACACTCCCGTAGCCACAAGTGAACACAGCCCTTCCACACAGGCAATAGAAGCAAAAAGAGCACCTGGAAAAGATAAACAAGAGGTTAACAGTGACACGGCCCTGCCTGCAAATGTCTTTACCACATCACCTCCTTCAGTGGGATTCTGTGAACCTTTCTAAGGGTTTGCACTTCCTATCGGAAAACTAGTATCTGCATTGTCAAGCATGGTAAGCAAGAGCTGGGAGCAGAGATCAGGCACACTGCACTGGCCTGGCAGGCCAAACCTGTCAAGCTCAGCTTCTCTGTAGCCAGGACCACCTCACTGACCTCCAGAATTTGTATCACTGGAGCTGACCAGGGATATTATATTGTAAATGCTTTAGACAAGGCTATATAGATCTGTTTACTGCCAAGCATGTCTTATCACTTGTTAAACATTAAGTACAGCAGACGACTGCACTTTATAGATTCAGCGTCATAAACCTGGTATCAAGTGCACACCACCTTCATTCTAATATAAGAAACATGAATTGTGCAGTCACCTTTCGAGCTTTCCCACCTTGACTCCCTCCTCCCCTCTCTCTGCCTGCAGTGGCATTCCTATGCAATGTTTAACAGCAAGTGCAAGCTCTTCAAACAAATTACTGGAAGAAAGGCAAATATGCTCCTCCTATGGGTTATCCATGATCTTTCACCATGATCAATGATACAACCCTCTAACAACACTAGGTTTCTTCCCATTGTCACTGATCTACAGAAAAAGAGTCACGGTCAGGGAAATCACTCTTTTCTGCTCATTACATAATCCATTTTAACTCTTGCTCCTTGTAAAAGTTTTGGAAACGAACAGATGGATGAATGAACTATTCCTGAGCTTGAATGCAGTACTTTTCATCTCACTTTTCTTCTCTTGTCCTCATCTTGAAAATGTAGCAAGTCTAAATGGATGAATGACAATTATTCTGAAAAAATAAAATGCTACCCTGGGCCTGAGGGTGAATGCAGGCACACAGGAGTCCAAAGGAGCCAAGGAAGTCCTAACCTCCCAAAGCAGTTTGATTTCAGCGTTCCAAGTAGACAGTGTTTCAGGACCTGGCTTAAGCATAGTGGCCAACTCCTTACCCTGTTCCGTCTCACTGACCAGCTTGGAGAGCTTGGCTCTGATGACTGGAGTGGCCACCATGGAAAGGAACAGAATCCCATAACCTGTGAGCAAGATACAGCACATTAGGGAAAGCTCAGCTGAAAAACAAAGTCTCCAAAGTCAATCCCAGAAATCTGTAGCTCTAGGCAGTTTTTCCCTGCTACATCTAGACCCAGTTCACCCTCCTGCATCTCACAATGCACTTCAGTCTTTGCCTGCAGTGTAACGCAGCTTCTGGGAAACCGAATATTCTAGGAACTATATGGTTGCGCTTTCAACTTCAGTGTTTGGCCAACTTTGCTGTTAGCAAGCCAGTTTTGTTGGTACACGAGCTGCAATGGAGTCAGAACTTCCTCCACATGCTTCAACTCCCAGAAGCACACTGCCCTCCTGCATCTACTGGCATCTCTAAGCTAAGAGCCTGAGATACAGGGATTTAAGAATTTGCCATCACCTGTAAACATCAGTGGTGTTGTAGTAGCAAGAGAAATCACAACCAGTCCAGAAATATTAGAGATCAATCCTATCTCTGCCACCCAGGTGTCTTCAAGGCAGAGCTGCAGCAGCCGCAGCCCTCCCAGGCTGCTCAGGTAAGCCAGGTAACTGGCGGCTGAGCCGTACCCAATGAGATCGGCAGCCCAGCAGAGCGGGGAGCCAAGCTCGTACAAAACTAAGAGGTCCTTGGTTCCAAAATGTACAGTGACAAGAAGAAAGAAAGCCAGGGAGTAAAGAGCGAGCTTCCGCCTGGAGCTCAAGTTTTCTGGGGCCGTGTACAGCCTGTAGACAGCCTTGTAATGACTGAGCGTGAACAGCTTGGCTGGTTTCTGCTGCTTCACCGATTCCTGAAGACAAAAAGCAGCATAGAGAGCGGCAGCAAGACTGGCAGTAAGCACGAGCCAAAAGGGGTTGATGTACCCCTGCGCCTTGCGCCACTGGCCGCCGCCAATGCTGGCCAGCATGCCCGCAATGCCGAGGCACGCCTCGAGGATGGCGACGCGAAATGTACGTGTGCGCTTGTCGCTGGTGTCGGCCACGTAGGCGAAGCAGCTGGCCAGGATCAGGTTGTAGTCTCCCATGAGGCCACTCAAAAGGCGTCCAAGGAGAAAGTAGGCGACGTGCAGCTGCAGGTACATGACGAGAAGATAGATGGCC